TATGCATAACAAAAGCTATTATAAAGTTAAAATAAACTATCGCTATATAATTAATAACATCATTATTACAATGATAACCATATAACGTAATAGTATGTAAGAGTATAAATAATACATATAAAGAGAAACAAAATTGAATTCTTATTCTAGTTAAATCGAATAAAAAAAAAGATACAATATTTATTATAATGTAATGAATAAGCAAGTAGTTATTAATTACAATCTGATTAAATTTCGTCGTTTAGCAATAATAGCACATAACCTCAAGGCAATAATATCAGATTTTGCTAAAACTTATCCTAAAATACGAAAATTCTGAATATATATCCTTAAAGACTTCTGTGACCTTATTTGAACCCAACCAATATAATCCATTTAATCATTGTATTTATACTGGTTAAATTGTCAACATATTATTGTCAATATTATGATGAACTAGAAGATGATCTCAATTAAAAATATCGCAATTTATATAGCAGATTACAGTATTACATTCATGTGAATGATACTACGATTTTAAAAGAATGAACGTTCGTGTTATAAGGCCATATTTGAATTATAAAAAAAAAAAAGGAAAAATTAAAATAATGAAATCTTGGCAAATTTACAATATTTTTTATATCAATAATAATTTAAATGCATGAGTAAACTAATCATGACAATAAAATATGAATTACTTTATTAAATTATACAAACTAAAAACTTTACCAAACGCTATGTAAAATTACATAATTAATTTTTGGATTTCACAAGTAGAATTTTATATCAGATATTTATTACGTCATAATATCCCTAAAAAATCGAAATTTAGCATACAAAAATTAAAAATAATCATAAAATTTAAATAATATATCATGCCCTGTCATGTTGATACGATTGTAAAAATAAACCAAATACAACAAACTTACAAGAATGAGACTAAATTAACAATATATGCAACTGGTACTTATCCTGTCGAAAGTGAAGATCACAAACTAGAAATGGTCTTATTCATTCCGATAAATGATGAGGAGAGAGATCCCAACACACAATCGATTTTCAAAAAAAATGAATTTTATTGTGTTAGTGGAAAAATTGTGTTTGCAAACTTTAATAACAACTTGAAACTAAAAGTTACGTGAATCTAATCTAGAATATTGTATAAATAATAAATACTTATCAAAATAATATTGTAAAATTTAGATGACAGTCACTTCTTCAACCCATCTCACAATTAAAAGAGACATCGGTTCAAACAGATGCCCATTGAAAGCTTCGCTTGTTGGTATCATGCAAGATATGCCAACAGAAATTGATGATGAAAACGCGATAATTAATGTTCTAGTTGAAGATTATGCTGGACAAAATTATAGCTTCATTATTAAAATAGTATTTCCTTATCGTAACACCAGATTCAAACACTTGATGAATAATACTCGATCAACCGAATCAATGCTTTTTATCGTAGATCAAATGGAAATCATTGAAAAAGATCTATACATATATGCTGTTGATATTTCCTATGTCAATATAAATTATGCAATAAAGAGAAAAGTCTTAGAATCGGGAAATTTTTAACTAATAAAGAGATTATACAGATCTGTTCATTCAAAACTTCTAATTGCGCACTAGAATGTTAATAAAATACGTCTGAAATTTCTGAAACTACAAATTCGGACGCGAATAAGGAAAAGAATGAATCTACATCTAATTTAACTATTGGAAACTCTAATTCAACAAGACATACAAGGGTAGAGGATGAAAAAGACGATTACATTGAAAATAATGGCAAAAATATAAATAACTATGATGATGAAAACATAAACAAAAATGACGAATATGAAAAAATAATTAACGATGAAAAAAAAAGTCTACATGCAATTTTGAAAAACCAAACAAAGGCAAAGAAAAGATGATCCAACCAACAATTCATAATACCAGAAAACGAACCGAATTAGCTAAAAATGCAAATTATAATGAAAAAACATAAAACTGCAAATTATATATTAACATTAAAATATATATTTATCACATAAAATTACATTTAAAAATTATTATATAAGTACATATTTATCTATGATACTATAGGACTTTACATTTAATATACGCTGTAACATAAATTAAATTGATTTCTTCTATTCTGATTTTTTTCAGATGTGTGCATATAAAAATATACCGAAAATTAAATATAAAATAAGTACAAAACATAAAGAAAAAAATAGTAAAAAATTTCATATAAAATTACAAAAAAAAAACTTACATAACAAACTAACACACTAAATGATACAAACTTCAATATGCCATATAAGCACGCATAACAAACTAAATACAAACAACAAAACCCACAAAAAAAAATATATAAAATAAACACCTTAATCAAAATGATTAAATAAATAAAGTGATCGTGCTGGTCTTGCGCCACGTCACACACTGCGCAGCTACCCTAATATATGGGAACCTCCACAGCAAAAGGTGGCAATGGGCCAAAAAAATTTTTTCTTAAAAATGCAATTTCTTAAAGAATTAGAGTAATTGGCATATAATTTTTACAAAATTACAAAATAAAAATTTTTGGCCTATTGTCACCTTTTGCTGTGGAGGTCCCCATATATAATATATGCTGTAATATGTATTAATATATTTTAAGAGATGTAACACAACCTATAATTATATTTAGATGATCATTGTGGAATGCCAATTGTTTGAGGTTGAACATTCGTTAGCTTTCGAGTCACTTGATATTAGATTGATAAACACTGAGAATATATCAAATTTTTCGAGTGAAAAATTTGGTGAATTTATGAAATTAATTATTAAATAGAATTTGTCTGATACTTGTAGCGGTAACATACTGTGTTTTTTAAACAAAGTATCACGTGATGACATGATATTGCATACTTCAATTCAACAGAGGAAGCAAATTTTAGATAAAATTATGGTTCTATACATTTCTTTTAAGAAAGTACCAATAATGGAATATAAAGAAGAAACATACTATTTAAATTACCATCCAATCTTTGACTGTATTAAGGAATTATTAACTAATAAGGACATACTTAATCATTGTGTTTTCGAATTTATACCGTTGTACCATGATGAACAACGAATATATAATGAACAGTTTAATAGAAAATGGTAGGAAAAAGTACTAAAAACAATTTTCAGCCAAGCAAAAGTTCTATTGATAATACTGTATTCTGATACAACAACATGTGATCAGCTTGGAAAAACAAATGAACATCCTGTTTATCTGACATTAGATAATATTCCTAGTTGAAGAAGGAATAAACCTGATGCTAAAGCTCTTCTTGCTTATCTTCCTATCATAAAACCAAAAACAGGTACACAAAAAGTTCTAGCAATTTTTTATTTGCAAAATAATTTGCATACCAACATTCTTGGGATGTAGTTTTAAAATCAATACTTGATTATAAGGACAATGGGTTTGATCTTCAGACAAATAATGAAAATATATGGTGTTACCTATTTGTTTCAGTCTTTTTAGGTGACATTCCAGAACATTCATTATTAACATTAACATATAATTCTGTCAATTGTAAATGTTCATGTTACGGATTTATAGTATCAGTTGACAGAATAAATGATATTAAGTTAAACGATAACCAAATTATTTCAAGAACCCCCGAACAAATGAAAATTATTATAAATCAAGGTCTTACAAAACAGTATTCTATATACAATATGGAAAACATATTCTGG